GTATAGAAAGAGCAATAAACCTTTTAGGTTGTCTCCCTGCACAGGACCAGAAAGGAGTGGACTCAACCACTGGAACTGTAGACATGCTGGTGCTCCTATTTCATTTAGTTTATGTTTTCCGATTTCTCCATCTCTTCTTCTTTTTTTTGATGTTCTTTTCCAAACCTTTATCAAATGTAGTAGAAAAACTTTTGTATACATATATATAAATAGTAAGGACTTCCCAGGTGGCACTAGCAGTAAAGAACCTGCCTGCCAATGCTGGAGATATAAAAGACTCTGGTTCAATCCCTAGGTCAAGAAGATCCCCTGGAGGAGGGCATGGCAACCCTTCTTGTATTCAAGTATTCTTGCCTGGAGAATTCCATGGACAGATAAGCCTGGCAGGCTACAGTCCATAGGGTTGCATACAGTCAGACACAACTGAAGCACCTGGCATGCAAGTACATATAAATACTATGTATAATATATATACATTAGAAAACTTATGAACTTTTGTCTAAAATATTAATGGCACTTATTTGACTTAGTATGAATAGAATGCTAGATTTCTAATTAAAAAAATAGATATGCAACAAGAACAAAAGTTTACTATATAGCACAGGGAACTATAGTCAATATCTTGTAATAACCTAGTGGAAAATAGTCTGAAAAATAATATATGTGTATATATATAACTGAATCACCTTGTTGTGTACCTGAAACATTGTAAGTTAACTATACTTCAACGAAATATATATTAATAAAAAATATATATATTTTAAAAAACCACACACACAGGAGCTGTAGACAGGTTGCCATAGGGCCGGGAAAGAATGCTTCAGGCCCATGTCAAGAATAGAGTGCTTAGGGGGACTTCCCTGGCAGTCCAGCGGCTAAGACGCCCTGATCCCAGTGCAGGGAGCCCAGGTTTGATTCCTGGTCCGAGAACTAGATCCTGCATACCACTATTAAGATTAATTAATTAAGATCCCGAATGCCACAACTAAGACTCGGTGCAGTCAAATAAATAATAATAATAGTAATAAATTAATAAAGAATGGAGTGCTTTGGGAGGCTTGGCGGGGGGGGGGGGGGGGTCAGGTATCAGGACCTCTCAGAGAAGGATCCTCTCTAAACTCCTTACTTGCAAATGAAGGAAACTCAGGTGAGTAAAGGCTTCTGCCCCAGGTAGAGGAACAGGTCTGCCCCCTAAAGGAGAGAGGATTCTCACTTGCAGGTCCCTTTCTGCCATTCTCACAGCCTGGTTCACAGGAGCGAGATATAATGGCCCAGGCCTCCTGTACATTAAAACACCTCCATCTCCATGTGGTCCTCACGTGCTGCAGGAACTCTGCAGATGAGGAAAAGTTAAATGCCCTAACCAGGGACTAAAGCCAGGCAGAGAATGAACATGAACTCCAGTCTGGGCCTCAAATACCTCTTCTGACATTTTGTGGGTTATAATGTGTTTGACTTTTTCTGGGAGTCCCTCAGACAGCAAGGAGATGAAACCAATCAATTCTAAAAGAAATCAACCTTGAATATTCATCAGAAGGACAGATGCTAAAGCTGAAGATCCAATACTTTGGCCACCTGATTCGAAGAACTGATTTATTGGAAAAGACGCTGATGTTGGGAAAGATTGAAGGCAGGAGGAGAAGAGGGTGACAGAAGATGAGATGGTGGGATGGCATCATCAACTTAATGGACATGAATTTGAGCAAACTCTGGGAGATGGTGAAGGACAGGGAAGCCTGGTGTGCTGCAGTCCGTGGGGTTGCAGAGTGGGACACAACTTTACAACTGAACAACAACACTGAGTCTTGCCTTCCCTGCAGATTGAAGGCCTTGGGAGGGTAAAGAGGAATTTCTTTATTCTGTGTTTCTTCTTTCTTTCTCTATTTTTAAGACTGTATAAACTATTTAATAACAGATTCCTCCTCTTCTTCATTTGCCAGACATCAAGGATTCTGGACATTGCAAAAGTTTCCCTTTAAGTTACACTGGGAACCCAGAGCAAGGCTGTATGGACCCCTGCTGGGGTAGCACAGAAAGGGGAATTTCATTTCTTGACTTCATTGGATAGGCTGTATTCACTTAATCATTGGTGTGAATAAGAGCATGGATGGGTGTAATTAAATGAACTGTGGTGGTTTAGTCGCTAAGTCATGTCTAACTCTTTTGTGACCCCATGGACTGTAGCCTGCTAGGCTCCTCTGTCTGTGGGATTTCTCAGGCAAGAATACTGGAGTGGGTTGCCATTGCCTTCTCCAGGGGCTCTTTCTGACCCAGGGATCGAACCAGCAACTCCCGCATTGACAGGTGGATTCTTTACCACTGAGCCACCAGGGAAGACCCACCCCTTGCATTTTTAACCTAAGTATCTTGAAAGCTTCTGTTTGTTTTTCCTTCTCTTTGCTGGTTTCTGTCATTGGGCTCAGTGCATGCATAGAACGCTTCTGAGTACAGACATCTGAAAAGGGCAAAATAAAAACAGCCAATTGGTCGATAATAGAATGGGAGTCTCTAAGGACTCTGGGGGAGGGTGCTGGTCCTAAAACTGGCTGGAAAGATATGAGAGCAGAAGATTCCTTGAGACTGCACTTTTTCCCAGGCGATAGCACATGCTGGTTGGAGGAGGTAGGTGGAAGCAGTTGGTCAATGATTCTGCTTGTGTTTGTGTTGGCCAGTGCCCACCTGAGGGTCCTGTTTTCTGAAAAACTGGCAAGCTGGGTGCTCCCTGTGAAATATGAAGTGAGGGATCTCCCTGCAAGGGATTGCTTTAGGCTGGCCTGGGATGCACACTCACTACCCCTGCTAAAAGGGCTTATTTGAATCAGCCTTCTGTCACCTTTCTAAACACTATATGATTGTTCCTCTCTGTTTAGTCTCTTTCCGGCTGGTATTGATTGTTGCTTTTACTGGCAAACAGTATGCCATTATAAAAATAAACACCAGTGTTTGTGCAGAGAGACAGTGAAATGGATTTCTGTGTCTCCAGGGCTGGCAAAATCCTTGCTTCAAGACCCAGGGGTCAACCTGGTACTTGATCCTCTCATCAGCACACCTCTGCGATTATTATAAGGATGTTTGTCTGTCTTCCTCCTTCCCCCTCTAATAGGACCGGCAGCTGCGGTTGGCCTTCCCCCCACACCCTGAGTGCCTGGCACTCAATTCATAGTTGCTGACTGACACTGAGGAGGGCTGGCCAGGAAGCAGTCATTTCAGGGTTAGGCCTGGCGCCGTGCCTCTCAGCTCGTTTCTACATGCAGCTGTCCCAGCTGGTCAGTCACCACAATCTAGGGTTAGGCGTTTGGTCCCGGAAGGGCAGACAGTAACAACAACAACAATAGTAACAATAACAGCTACATAGTCAAAGAGCAGTCACAGAGTTGTCCCTTCCTGTTCCATGCCTAGGGCAGCTGCTCCCACAGGCTCAGTGAAGCGGTGCTCTGTTAGTGTTTTTTTCTTTTTGTTTATTTATTTGGCTGCGTCAGGTCTTAGCTGGGACATGTGCACTCTTCCTTGCAGTGCGCCAGGCTTCTCTAGTTGCTGTGCGGGCTTAGGTGCCCGGTGGCATGTGAGCTCTTAGTCCCTGGACCAGGGATCAAACCCACATTCCCTGCATTGGAAGGTGGACTCTTAACCAACTGGACCACCAGAGAAGTCCCTGTGTTGTCATTTTTACCCCCATTTTACAGATGAAGCAGCTGGCGCTGAGAAACCTTTCAACTTGTTTTACTGAAGTCACACTGTTGTAGCCACGCGTTCTGGGAAACAAACTCACTCAGAAGGACAATGCAGATAGTGGAGTGTAGTTTATTACACCGGCGGGCCCAAGGCAGAGTCTCCTCTTAGCCAAGAACCCCCACCAGCATTTGTGAAAAATCTTTTATACCCCATGTGTACATGTCCAAACCCACCACCCCAAATTCCTTGAGACTGCTCTTAAGATAACAGTCTAGATGGGCCCTGATTTGTGCCTAGACACAATTTCTTCATCTGGAATATGAAAATATCTTAGGGTTGTTTGGGAGGGTTAAAAAATATTATGTTTTAAAACTTTTTTTGGCTGAATTGTCTTCACTGGGGCACAGGGGCTTCTCTACCAGGCAAATCTTAAGCACTGGACCAACACGGAAGTCCTTGTATGTGTTGATTGTTGATTGCCTGTTTCTTATCCTAGACTGCCAACTCCAGGGGGCAGGATCTTTGGCTCATTCACTATTATATTGTTTGAGCCTGGACCAAGTGCCCGGCACAGGAGCGCTCAGTATTTGTGTCCCAAAGGAAAATGGCAGACCATGCCCCTTCTATCTGCATTCCCTGCATCTGGTTCCCCAGATCTCCCCTCCACTGGCCCCAGAGATCTCTGGCCTGGTCCTGGGGGATCAACTTCTGGCCTCTGGACAAGGTGGGCAAAAGCCCCAGGACTGCAGAGGTCAGAACAATGCCTGTGGACGTGAGGACCTCCCTCAGGCCTCTGCTCTCGGGTTCTCCTTTTCTTTTTTCAAAGCAGGAAAAGCAATTTTCTGGCCCGAGCACCACGTGGTGCTATTTCGGAGATTCTTACAGAGAAGAGTCACCGCCTCCGTTGCAGCTTTTTTGGGGAAGGGGAAGGAGCCCAGCAAGCGAGGCCAGGATAGGCTGCGGAAGGGGAACAGTGCGATAGGCAGAGCAGGTCGGCGCGGAGGAGAGCAGGACCCGCCAAGAGGGCGGAAAAGCTTGCGAGGAGGAGGGTGGGGCTGATAGCCGCCCGCAGCTCCCGCGCTCGCGCGCCACGCCACCTTAAATGCCGGACTTCCTTAAGGGAGGGCGCCCGATCCGCGCGCCAGGGGGCGGAGCCTCCCATGCAAATAAGAGGCGTGGGTCGCGGGGCGGGGCAGATGGGGCGCTGACCTGACGTCAGGCCCGCGGCCGGGACAGTTGGCTCGGCGGCGGCGGAGCGGCAGGAGCGGCGGCGTGAGCGGGGCTGCGCGGCGGGGCGCGGGGAGCGGCGGCGGCCGAGCCGGAGCAACATGGCGCCGGTGGGCGGGGGCGGGCGCCCGGGTGGTGGGCCGGCCCGAGGGCGCCTCCTCCTGGCGGCGCTGGTGCTGCTGGTGCTGCTGTGGGCGCCGGGGGTCCGCGGCCAGGGCGGCCCCCAGCGGAGCGCGATTCTGGGCATGAGGCTGACGAGCTGCAGCAAATCGTGTGAGATAAACACGGATGGCATCATCTCCGTGTCCGAGGGCAGCACGGTGAACCTGAGGCTGTACGGCCAGGGGCTGAACTCCTTCTCCAGCAACCTGATCTCCTTCACTGAGGTGGACAACGCCGAGACCTTCCACAACTCCACCGAGTGCCCCGAGCTCACCAAGGACCTGGTCGTCCAGAAGCTGGTCAACGTGAGCCGCGGGGACACGTCGGGGACGCTGGTGGTGCTCACTAAGTTCCTCCGGAGGAGCGAGAGCGCGAAACTGTATGCGCTGTGCACCCGGGCGGGCGTGGACAGGCCCTGGCAGAGGTGGACGGACAAGGATTCTCTGCTCCTCATGGTGGAGGAGGCTGGGAGGCTCCTGCCCCTCTGGCTGCACGTCCTCGTCATTATGGTGCTGCTGGGGCTGTCGGGCATATTTTCTGGCCTCAACCTGGGGCTGATGGCCCTGGACCCCATGGAGCTGCGCATCGTGCAGAACTGTGGCACTCAGAAGGAGCGGCGCTATGCCCGCAAGATCGAGCCCATCCGTCGCAAGGGCAACTACTTGCTCTGCTCCCTGCTGCTGGGGAACGTGCTGGTCAACACCTCCCTCACCATCCTTCTAGACAACCTCATTGGGTCTGGCCTCGTGGCCGTGGCCTCCTCCACCATCGGCATCGTCATCTTCGGGGAGATCGTGCCTCAGGCCCTGTGCTCCCGACACGGGCTGGCTGTGGGTGCCAACACGATCGTCCTCACCAAATTCTTTATGCTGATCACCTTCCCCCTCAGTTACCCCATCAGCAAGCTACTGGACTTCTTCCTGGGCCAGGAGATCCGCACCGTTTACAATCGGGAGAAGCTGATGGAGATGCTGAAGGTGACCGAGCCCTACAATGACCTCGTGAAAGAGGAGCTGAACATGATCCAGGGGGCCCTGGAACTTCGGACCAAGACGGTGGAGGATATCATGACCCAGCTGCAGGACTGCTTCATGATCCGCAGCGATGCCATCCTGGACTTTAACACCATGTCGGAGATTATGGAGAGCGGCTACACCCGCATCCCCGTGTTTGAAGACGAGCAGTCCAACATCGTCGATATCCTCTACGTCAAGGACTTGGCCTTCGTGGATCCCGATGACTGCACCCCGCTCAAGACCATCACCCGCTTCTACAACCACCCGGTGCACTTCGTCTTCCACGACACCAAGCTGGATGCCATGCTGGAGGAGTTCAAGAAGGGTAAGGCGCCGGGAGCGGCTCCCGCATCCCTCTGTGCGGTGCCTCGTGTACCTGTTCTGTGTCTGCTGATCTTAGCGCTCCATTCATGTGACCCTGTCCATTTGCCCAGCACGTCCTATGCCTCTGCAGAGATGGGCACTCAGGCCAGCAGAAACAGTTCTTAGGCATCTGCCAGGAACTGTGCTTGTGCCCCAGGCGGATCCAAGCAAGGCAGACAGTCTTGCCCACGTGGGGGCGGGATGGAGTGAGGCCATCCTTCAGGGAGGCCAGCACCGGGGCTTGGAGATTAGGGCATGGTCCTGGAGCCAGCACGTCCTACTCGGGTCAGGTGGGCAAGGGGCTGGGGGGCCTGGAACATTTGGGGAGATCCTTGAAAGCTGGGGAGACTTGGTGCTTGAGGCAGAGGGAATCCCTTGAACAGAGAAGCTGAGTTGGGGAGCAGGGGATGTGCTTCTGGTTCAGCAGGTGGTTCCATTCCTGTGGGTACAGGCTCTGCTGATCAGTGGTCAGTAGGGGAGAGACTGAGTCATCCAGGGCCTTGGGAAGAGCCTGAAAGTCAGGGCAGTCAGTCTGCTGGGCGCTCGGAGCTCTGGAAGGTTTTGGAGCCAAGCGAGAATGGTGTCACTGGAGCGCCTGGCCCACGGAAGCCAAGTTGGGAGGGCACTCACTGGCTCTCTGCCAAGAGCAATGCGAAGTAATGCTTTTGACTGTTCAGTAGAAGCGAGCAGATTAAGTTTTGGTTATTCTATCTTTCCCAGGCGCCGCACATAAGCTTCCCTCCTGTGGTCTGCTGGGTATCTTCAGTCGGCCTGGTTTTTTCCCTCACACATGCCCTTGGTAGTTAGACACTTGGAGGGTTTATTCAGCAGCCTCGGGGCTCAGAGCACACACCCCTTTCTTTACTTCTAGCAAAACTTTCCTCCTGCCTCTGCTGCTCCAAGTGACAGTAAATAAGCTAGTTAGGGAGCAAAACCCTCCTTGGCCAAAGGCAGTGAGAAGACCAGAAGGGGAGCTCTTTATAAAGGAATGGGGGGTCACCTAAACCCCAGAACTCTGCTTCACTCCCCACAGGTGGGACTCCTGCTGGCTGAGGCAAGACCTCAGCCCGTTGTTGCTCATTTCTGGAAAGCCTCAACTGGCTGGATCAGTGGGTGACAGAGTAGGATAAGGAGGAGCTGGCCTGGCAGGGATGCTGCGGTTAGAGCCAGGGTGGGGACTGGGTATCTTCCCTTTTTCAGTTTGACAGACTGAATCTCAGCATCAGAGCTGAGGAGAACTCCAGTTATATAAGCCTGAGTGGGAGACAGCCTGTAAGGTGGTCTGCAGACGGGCTGGTGGTAATGGCACAGCCCCGGGGGAGCTTCAGTGTGGGCAGACGCAGGAATCTGTTTCCCCCAGGTATCAAGTCCAAACAGAAGAGCAGCGGGGATTTGAGCCCCACCCCCACCCTGCAGCCTCTAGGCCTGGAGGACTTTTCCTATGTTGCTTGGTCAGGAGCAGGGTTAGGACTCACCAGGGCGGCTTTCTCCTTAACCACCTCTATGGTCTTTGGTACTTGCTGGTGACACACCCGACAAGCACGTTTGCGTCGTCCAGCCTGGATCTGGATCCAACCTGTATGGATTGGCATGGTCAGGCTTCCCAGCCCCTGATCAGCAGGGTGGGAGCTTCCTGAATCTCGGCAGAGCCATCTTTGGGCTCATCTTTAAAAAAAAAAAAAAAAAGTACCACCACTTCCTGAAGCTGGGAAAGCAGAGCTAGCATCTCTGAGGGCAGAGCTGTGCTGAGTGGGGCTCTGCAGATACACACTTTAGTCCCCTGGACTCTCCTCCTTATCAAGCCTGTAGCCTGAGGCTGATGCCTGGAGGGGCTGCTGGTAATTCCGTGGGCGCACAGGCACAGTTTGCTCCCTGCATTGTGAGGCCCTGGGCATTACACCATCACTTCTTGGTTCCTAGTTTTAATTCGTGGCTGTGCTCTCTCCCACATCCAGAGTGTGATCTCTCCTACATCTTCCCCTCTGGCATCTTCCTTTTCAGTCCAGGGCCCTCTTGGACATGGCAAATGCTCAGTGTATACCTGCAACTTACTGCCTTTTCTTTACAAATCTGGTATTTAGAAGCCTTCTTTTTTATTTCATTTTTAAAATATTTTTGTATTTGGTTGTTCTGGGTATCAGTTGTGGCACGTGGGATCTTTCTAGTTTCGGCCTGTGAAATCTTTAATTGCCGCATGTGGGATCTAGTTCCCTGATCAGGGATCGAACCCAGGTCCCTGCATTGGGAGCGTGAAGTCTTAGCCACTGGCCTGCCAGGGAGGTCCCAGGCTTCTTTTTTTTTTAGCTAAGAAAAACCCATAAGTTGGGTTAACACAGCCGGCATTGTCAGCAGCACAGATATTTGAGCCAGGGTGCCTATCTAGTTGAGCCAAGGGGCTTTTCTGTGTTCTGGGGGACCCTTCATCACCTCCAGGTTGGATGAGGGTCCTGAATCTCTCCAGAGTCTTTCCGCTGTGGGTGTGATCCTCTTTTAAGGTCATTTCATTTCCACCTTACCCACCAGCATTGTGAGTTCCTTGAGGGTTGGCATCATGCCTTGTTAGCATTTTCTCCACTCATTTGCCTGGTGAAGAAACGAACAGTAAACGTTAGTTAAACAATGAGTGAGCAACAAGTGAGTGGCTCTGTCACTAGCCAGGCCGGCCTTGCTGGCCTTGAGGACACTCCCAGCCTGGAGCCTTTGCAGTGGCTGCTCCCGCAGGCCGGAATGTTCTCCCCCAGACTTTGTGGCTCACTCTCCCCTCCCTTGTGTCTGCTTCATCTTCTCCGTGAGGCCTTCCTGTCACCCTTATTTAAAACTGTAACCCCTGGTCCCTCCCTGACCTTCCTGATCTAACCTGACCTACCCTGTGCTCATTTTTCTTTTTCTTCTATCACTTTCTAAGTGATTTATGAGTTTACATTTTTATTGTCTGTCTCCTCCCACTGTTCCAAAGGGCACGGTCTAAGTTTTATTCATCCATATATCCCTGCCCCTAGAATGGTTCTTGTTGTTTAGTCTCTCAGTCATGTTGGACTCTTGCGACTCCATGGACTGTAGCCCACCAGGCTCCTCTGTCTACGGGATTTCCTAGGCAAGAATATTGGAGTGGTTTGCTATTTCCTCCTCCAGGGGATCTTCCCAACCCAGGGATTGAACCCATGTGCCCTGCATTACAGGCAGAGTCTTTATCGCTGAGCCACCAGGGAAACCCTAAAATGGTTCTTGGTACGTAGTAAGACTTTGATTAAAAAGTCGCTGAAGGAACGAATGACCTGCCAGATTTGAGAATTATCCCCATTCCAGAAGTGTTAGAATTTTGAGGAGCTGATAAGGGATAAAGACAAATCGGTGTGCGGTGCTGTTATCCAGGGACTTGACCGTTTCCAGCTGCGCCAGGAAAGCCAGGAGGAGCTCCTGCAGAGACACATGCGTTAGAGGTTCGGGTCACGGCCTCAGAAGCAGAGTTTGGGGTCCTGGTTCCCCTTCCCTGTGCCTCAGTTTCTCAGTGAATGAGCGGTCTTTGAGCATCAGGAGCTGATGTGACTTCACTCACCAGCGAGAATCATGAACATGCTCTGCACACGCAGAGACAGGCGCAGAGAGTCATTGCAAGCCTGCGGCTCTGAGCTTTGCCTGGAGACTGAAGCAGGGAGGCGACAGCTTCCCGGGCTTCCAGAGTGGCTCAGCGGTAAAGAACACACCTGCCAGTTCAGGTCCGATTCCTGGGTCGGGAGGATCCTCTGAAGGAGGAAAAGGCAGTACTCCTGCTCCAGTGTTCCTACTGGGACAGAGGAGCCTACAGCCCATGGGGTCGTGAAGAGCTGAACACGACTGAGTGGCTGAGCGTGCCGGCCTGACCGCCTCCCAGCTGTTTCTGCCTCCCAACAGAAGGCAGCTGTTGCCAGGCGCTTGCTGAGCCCTGCACAATGTGTGAGACGTGATGCCCGGTGCTGTGGGCCCCAGTAAGACCCGCCAGCTGGTGGGAGCTGTCAGGCCACTGGGAGGCTCCTGCTGTTTGAACCTTGGTCCTCCTTCTACTTGAACTTCACCTAGAATGTTGGCAGTACCGGGTGTTGTGGTTGAGTTTGGCCACAGCTGGAAATCTGAAAACAAAGCCTCCCTGGGCTACTCCTGGCTGGCCCTGTCTTTCCTTCACCACAGATGCCTCCGAAGACCCTGGAAGCACAGTAATGAATGAGCTCTTCACTGGAGGGTTTGGAAGCCCGCCCCTCATTGAAACCTACCCTCCAGCTTCTGCTCTGCCCCTCCCTCCGGTTCATTCCTCCCCCTCCCAGACCTTCAGCTCTTCTTGAGTCATCTTATCTTTCCCCACCCACTTTATAACCACCTAGCCCCCAGTAAAGAGCTGGGTTTAAACTCTACAGCTTGGTCACTGACCCCTGAGGTAACCTTAGACCTAAACTCCTCCTTATAGATAGTGGGGTATATATTGGAGGGGAAAAGCTAGAAATGATTTCATTAAAAACTCCTCCGGTATTTCCTATGCCACATCACATTTTCCCCAGTGGCTTAATTTTATTCCTGAAACAACTTTATAAAGGCCGGAAAGAACACCGCATAATTTTTGCTTTTGGTTCCTACCATCTGGCACACCTTGAAAGCATCTTGTTTCCCTGCGCCTGCTTGTCCTTTCATTTGCTCAACAAACGTCTAATTTTTGGAATCCTGTGTGTCAGACGGTGTGCTGGCATTAGCGGAGGACTAACACAGCCCTGTTCACAGAAGTCGCTGTCTACTGGGGAGACAGACGTGTGAACAAAGCTTCAGCAGGCACTGTGGGGCTCCCAGGAAGGCCTAGGCTTCCAGAAACTTCTGAAGTTAGAAGGACAGGACCGAAGTGTTTGTGAACACGTGAGGTTTTTGCCTGGGACTCAGGTTGAAGCTGTTGTCATTTAAGGGAAGTGGGCGGAGGAGGGAGCAGAGCTGGGGTGGTGAGGG